CTCTCCCTCTACCCCTTCCCCCCATCGTGCTCTCTCTCACTCTCTTGCTCGCTCCCTCAAATAAATAAAATCTTAAAAAAAACCAAAACATTGAGGGGGTGCTTGGGTGACTCAGTCAGTTAAGTGTCTGACTCTTGATTTTGACTCAGGTCATGATCTCAGGGTTGTGAGATGGAGCCCAACAATGATGGGCCTGGAGCCTGCTTAAAAAACTCCCCCTTGTGCTCATGTACACATGTACATACACACACGTGTTCTTTCTCTCTTTCTCTCTTGCTTAAAAAAAATTACAATTTGAAAAATTTGACAAATTTAGTTGTGTAACCCAGCACCCTAATGATACAGAACAGGGGTCAGCAAACTACACCCCATAAGCCAATCTGGTCTACTGTTTGTCTGTATCTATTTATTTATTTATTTAGATGTATTTATTATATATAGAGAGAATGTGTGCCTGAGCAGGCTGAGGGAGGGGCAGAGGGAGAAGGAGAATTCTGAAGCAGACTCCTGGCTGAGTGTGGAGCCCAAAGTGGGGCCCGATCCCAGGACATTGAGATCGTGACCTGAGCTGAAATCAAGAGTCACAGCCTAGCTGACTGATGCACCCAGGCACCCCTACTGTCTATTTTTAGATATAAAAGTTTATCTTAATATAGTCTTTATTTGGTACTGTTTGTGGTTGTTCCCATACTACATTGACAGCTGAGTTCTTGCAACAGAGACTTTGGACTGCAAAGCCTGAAATATTTACTATTTGGACTTTAATGTAAATTTGCTGATCTCTAATATAGAACATTTCTCTTACCCACAAAGTTTCCTGATGCCCCTTTGCAATCAATCTACTCCTTTTACCCCCATTCTCTAGCAATCACAGATCAGCCGTCTGTCACTATGTTTTGACTTTTCTAGAATTTGATATAAATGGAATCATATAGTGTATAGTCTTGTCTGACTTCTTTCACTGAGATTAGTACTTTTGAGATTTATCCAAGTTGTTGAATGTATTAGTAGTTTGCTTTTTCTGTTGTTGTTTTTTTTTTGTCACTGTGGGGTTTTAATTTTTTTTTTTTGAGTAAACTCTATGCCCAATGTGGGGCTTGAACTCATGATCCCAAGATCAAGAGTCGCATGCTGTATGGACTAAGCCAGCGAGGTGCCTCAGTAGTTTGCTTCTTTTCAGTTGTTGATTTGCATTTTCTTTTCTTTTTTTTATAAATGAACCTTTTTTTTTTTTAAAGATTTTATTTATTCGACAGAGAGAGACACAGCGAGAGAGGGAACACAAGCAGGGGGTGGGAGAGGGAGAAGCAGGCTTCCTGCGGAGCACGGAGCCCCATGCGGGGCTTGATCCCAGGACCCTGGGACCACGACCTGAGCCGAAGGCAGATGCCCAACAACTGAGCCACCCAGGCGCCCCTCTTTTCTTTTTTTTTAAAGATTTATTAATTTGAGGGCACCTGGGTGGCTCGGTCGGTTAAGCAGCTGCCTTTGGCTCAGGTCATGATCCCAGGACCCTGGGATCGAGCCCCGCGTCGGGCTCCCTGCTCGGCGGAGAGCCTGCTTCTCCCTCTCCCTCTGCCTGCCTGCCACTCCCCCTGCTTGTGCTCTGTCTCTCTCACTCTCTTTCTCTGTGTCAAATAAAATTTTTTTTTTTTAAAGATTTTTTTTATTTATGTGAGAGAGAGAGAGAATGAGAGATAGCACGAGAGGGAAGAGGGTCAGAGGGAGAAGCAGACTCCCTGCTGAGTAGGGAGCCCGATGTGGGACTCAATCCTGGGACTCCAGGATCATGACCTGAGCCGAAGGCAGTTGCTTAATCAACTGAGCCACCCAGGCGCCCTCAAATAAAATATTAAAAAAAAAAAGATTAATTAATTTGAGAGAGAGAGTGCGCGGGGTGGGGGCCGGGCAGAGGGAGAGAGGGAATCTCAAGCTGACTCCCCATTGAGCACTGAGCCTGACCTGGAGCTTGATCCCAGGACCCTGAGATCATGACCTGAGCTGAAACCAAGTCAGATGCTTAACCGACTGAGCCATCCAGGCATTTTCTTTTATTGAATTTCTTGAAAATGTTGATTCATTCTTGCTTTGCTTTGAATTTTGCTTTTAGGAAATCTGATGGTTGCCTTTTTTTTTTTTTTTTTACCCTTATTATGTAATACGATTTTTTTGCCTTGAGGCTCTGAGGATTTTTTTCCATGCCTTTAAAGTCTGAGTTTTTGTTGTTGTTTGTTTTTGTTTTACAGGGCGTGTGCTCCCAAGCCAGGCTTGGGTGCAGGGGCAGTGGAGGAGGGGCAGAAGGAGGAGAGAGACTGTACACCTAGAACTGTGGGGCTCCATCTCACTACCCTGAGATCATGACCTGAGTTGAAATCAGGAGTTGTATGCTTAACCAACTGAGCTACCAGGTGCCCCTAAAGTCTGATAGTTTTTTTTTTTTTTTAAGATTTTATTTATTTATTTGACAGAGAGAGTGAGAGATGGAACACAAGCAGGGGGAGTGGGAGAGGGAGAAGCAGGCTCCCCGCTGAGCAGGGAGCCTGATGTGGGACTCGATCCCAGGACCCCAGGATCATGACCTGAGCCGAAGGCAGTCGCTTAACCAACTGAGCCACCCAGGCGCCCAAGTCTGATAGTTTTATTAGTATATGTCATGAGGTTGATTGTTCCTGGTAATACTTTTACTTACTTTCTGCTGTTTTTTTAGAATATAGTTTTAAAATTATAGTTTCTGTTTAATCAGCTGAAGTTTTTTTTAATTTTTAATTTTTTTAAGATTTTTTTTATTTGAGAGAGAGCTTGAGCAGGGGGAGGGGCGGAGGGAGAGGGAGGAACAGACTCCCCGCTGAGTAGAGAATCTGACATAGGGCTCAGTCCTAGGACCCTGAAATCATGACTTGAGCCAAAGTCAGATGCTTAGCCGACTGAGCCACCCAGACACCCCTTTTTTGTTTTTGTTTTTTTAAAGATTTTATTTATTTTAGAGAGCACAAGGAGGGACGGGAGGGAGAGGGAGGGGGAAGAGTCTCAAGCAGACTCCTTGCTGAGCTTGGAGCTCAAGGCCACGCTTGATCTCACTCATGACCCAGAGACCATAACCTGAGCCCAAACCAAGAGTTGGATGCTCAACCTGCTGAGCCACCCAAATGCCCCTCAGCTGAAATGTTTTGATTTGCATTTTGTTTTCTTTTTACAGTATCTTTGAATGGAGTTGGGTTTTTTTTCTTTTTCCTATTTTTGGACATTTTGTGGACACAGTTCCAGAGCACCTTTTTCAGTATAGTGACTTGTAGTTTCTTTAAAGGTTGGTGATGTGTTAGGAGTACTGCTGTTGGAAAAGGGGAGGAGTCGGCACATCTTGTTGCTCTTTTGTTTCTGCAGGATCCTTAATTTTCTTTTCCTTTATTGCTGCACCAAAAGGCACCATTCTTTCCCTGTTTTCTTTTGATTCTCCCCCAGAATCAGAACTTCTCGATTGCCACTTCTAGTCCCATTGAATTTTTTGTAAAGATTTTTTATTTATTTATGAGAGAGAGAGATTGAGCAAGCAAGTGGAGGAGCAGTGGGAGAGGGACAAGCAGACTCCTCGCCAAGCACAGAGCCCAACGCAGGGCTCGATCTCAGGACCCAAAGATCACAACCTGTCCTAAAACCAAGAGTCAGACACTTAACTAACTGAGCCACCCAAGCACCCCCATTGAATCTTTTCTTTAAAATATATTTTTAATTTATTTTCTAATTTTTTTAAAAGTAGGCTTCCCACCCAGTGTGGAGCCCAGTGTGGGGCTTGAACTCACGACCCCGAGATCAACACCTGGGCTGAGATCAAGAGTTACTTAACTGACTGAGCCACCCAGGCACCCCCATTGAATCTTTTTTTTTAAACAGCTTTACTAAAGTGTACTTTTATTATATAATTCACCTATTTATTTATTTTTAAAAGATTTTATTTATTTATTTGACAGAGACACAGCGAGAGAGGGAACACAAGCAGAGGGAGTGGGAGAGGGAGGAGCAAGCTTCCCGCTGAGCAGGGATCCTGATGCGGGGCTCCATCCCAGGACCCTGGGATCATGACCTGAGCCAAAGGCAGACGCTTAACAACTGAGCCACCCAGGCTCCCCTAATTCACCCATTTAAATTGTAAAATTGTAATTATATTGTCTTGTTTATTTCTAATCCTATATAATAATAATCCTAAGTGTGTACCATTGTGTCTGGTATGTATTAGACAGTCAGTAAGCATATTGAGTGAGTTTATAAGGGGTTTACTGAATAATAACTGTGCATGGTATGAGGGTTATTTAAGTTTAACATATTTACTCAATCTCAAAGAATTTATAGTTTATAATCACTGACCTTGCTTTCCTTCTTGAAAAATTTATTTTCAGTTGGGCTTTGTAACAGTTTATCTACTTGATTTTCATCTACTCTTGTGGCTGCTTTTTGTCATAATCTTTGAAGGTTCCACTTCCTTTGGACATCTCTTCAATGTTCGCTTTTGTTTTTCTTTTTTGTGTATTCTTCCCTGGCTACTTGAGTTCACTTCCATTGTTTCAGTTACCATCTATATTACTAGAAGTCTCTATCACTGTCCTAGATCTCTTTTCTGAGCCCCAGATCCACGTGTTCAGTGGACTGCTGCATATCTCCACTTGTATGGTTTATAGCCACTAACTGAATAAGTAAGTTATCATTTCCTCCTTACTCTGCTCCTTCTCCAGGATTTCGCAAATCAGTGTATGATATCAGCATCTCAACCATTACCCATCATCCTTCCTCCAGAGCTAGTTAGGTATATATTACCTAAATTAAATGTAACTCAAATCCTTCTACTTTTCTTCATCCTTAGTGTCATCGCTGAAGACCAGGTTGTGTTTACCTGGGCCATTACAACAACTTCCAATCTTGCTCTCTTCCAGTCCAGTCTCCAGTGTAACCTCTAAAGTACATCTAGTCATCTCACTCCTAGCTTAAAATGTTTGCCTCATTCATTTCAGAAAATGGAATCATCAAAACAGATAAAGTATTTGAAGTAATGCTGGCCACAGACCGTTCCCACTATGCAAAATGTAATCCTTATATGGATTCTCCACAATCAATAGGTAAGGTCTGGATTTCTGAAAATGTCACATTTTTACTCATTTACTGTATAATTTTTGTTAAGTAAAAATGGACTGGGACACATATTTATATATTATTACCTTGCTAGTTTGAATTTTATGCCTCAGTTAAGTGTCATAATTCCAAACAGAGCCATTTCAATAAAATGATGTTATGTATTAAGTATCTTTTCTATTTTTTCAAACTGTGTATAATATATATGAAAAATACTTTAAACGTTTTTCTTACAAAACATACTTTTAATGAAAATTTAAGTTTAAACTGAGTGCTTAGCTTTCTTTAGACCCTTAATGTTGAATGAAGTTGTTTTTCATATTAACATCAGTTTTTTAAATCAATATTAAAGGAAATAAGTGTAATTAAGTGGTTACTGACCTCTCTGCTTCACTTGCCCTGAATTTTTTGGTTTGTGCTTGGTTTTAGAAAGTTCGGTATTTAACTCCTTCTCCTGAAGCAGGTTTTGCTGAACTGCTGAGCCTTGGCAGTGGGCGCCTTTGAGGCTTAGAAGGGCCACAGGATTCTGTCAGCCAGCTACCATGCTTTCTTCTTTTGAAGCACTATAACAGTCAGCAGAGAAGATCCTGGGGAGCTTCTGAACCCCGAAGGCACCTGCTACCACCGCTCAGTGAAAATTGCTTCAGATGCAGAAGCAGGTAAATAAGTTTTGAGAAAGCAACACTGGAAGAAAAAACTTGAAAGCTTAGAAACTAAGAAAAGATTGGGAATTACCATCAGGCGATAGTATAAAGAGTAAACTGAGGTACTTTTTTAGTCTCTTAAGCTACTTTGATTGCCAGTTGCTCAATAAGTTGCCAGAAATAGGAAGCAATTTAATTTTCAGAAATTTTACATACCTATTATATATGGAAGTTTATTTTCTTTTTATAAACCTGGAGAGAAAACAAGTCATAAACTTATGAACTCAAGTTCTTGACATTCTTTCTTAGCTAACTATATGGGAGAAGAAATTTTTAGAAATAGTGGGAGTGTTGTACTAGATGAGCATATTAGCCTTAGGCATGATTGTATTTTCTCATTATAACTGCTACTTGACAGTACTCTAAAAAGCAAAATGAAAGTTTTATTTTCTTGAGATCATAAAAACGAGAAATATTATGAAAAAGAATTTGTGGATGTTAGGAAAGGAGTTACATGGAGTATCTGGTATGTTTTTGCAGCTGAATGTGTCAGTAGTTCTCTTCTTCTTTTACAGGTTTCCAAGCAACAATCAGCGCTCCACACATGGTAAGTTAACTTTGGTCATTTGGATATAAATGGATCACATTTTTCCTCTAAGATCATTTTCTTTAGTAAAAAAGGTTTACAAAAGTTGATCTTTTAATTAGATCAGTTTTATCATCTATGAGTTTTGTAGATTGGTAATGAACCTCTTATTCTTTATACATGATATATAGAGAGAAGTCTTCTTGGTAGAAACTGTCATTAAAGTTTTTGTTGGTTGTCATTAATATCTAATCATGTAAAAACTGGATATAAAAGGTTATTTAGTGATGAGCAAATTAAGGAAGAGAATATTTTATTTTTTTCAGATTTTATTTATTTATTAGAGTAAGAGAGCACGAGCAGGGGGAGCGGCAGACAGAGAGAGAGAAGCAGGCTTCCCGCTGAGCAGGGAGCCCGATGCGGGGCTCGATCCCAGGATCCT